CAAGGGGTGGGGGCAAGGGGGAGTGAAGTGTGAAGTGGTCATTTTCACAGGTGATTGTATTGAACAATGGTCCATCTTGAAACATGTTGAATTAAAGCTTCTTTCGCGCTAAAAGTCACGGCGACCCAGAAGTGGCCCCACTGAGAGGGGAGGATAAACCCGGATGTTCGTACAAGGCCACATACGTTCAGAATATAGGGCTGAAGTTTACTTTTGTCAATCTCGGTGGGGTCTCCTCAATCATGCGACTGTCTTCTTGACTGTCCTGAGTGACACTTTCACACCGCTGGCGGTCGTCATTGAGGTTGTGCCATTGACTTGTCATGCCACTGGGGTTACTGTCAAGTCATAAAGATGTCACTTCACGTGCCTGTAGTTACGTCCACCAGAACTGTTCTCTGGGCGTCTAGTTCTCGTCCCAACTACGCTCGACTTCACTCCGAGACGTGCTGATATCAGGCCTAGCCAACGCTAAGTCTACGCGTCCACTAAAATAAGATCGCTTCCAGGCCAGCCTAGGCCTAATGTATCAAATTTTTGCGTGGTGTAGAACCGACTCAAAAAGATCCGCGTCCACCGACGTCAGATCAGCTAAACCTATTTTGAGCCCAGTGTGTTACGATTACGAGAACAACAGACAGCACAGGCGACTTATTTATTTAATTACATTTTCAGCATTGTTTCTGCTGTGTAGATCTATAGAGACACAAGTATAGTTCTAGACAAGACTGCCTCTTTTTAAATTATTATTACGCAGAGGCTAAAGTCTATCCCTGGCGTACATGTTAGCTCATATGAGCCTTGTGAGGGGTGACCTATGTATTGGCTAGGTCTAACATAGTCTATTTTTAGCTCCCTCGAGAACGAAATAATCTAGGTCAAGTGCTTTAATTCAATTTTCTGCTGTTTTTCGGCCCAATTTTACTATTGTACAACGTATTATAATGAGATAAAACTGTGTTGATATTGTTAAGTGCAATGAAGAAGCAAAAATGTACTTAAAGATGTAAATTTCCTTCAAAAAAGAGTCGAATCGAAGCTTCTTAGTATCCTGTACGGCTGACGAAAAAGCGTGCACGAAGGAAAATCGCGTAGTTATGCAAAAGGCAGTCAGTGACTGCCGAAAACGAGCTCATTTTCATGTGAGCCTGGCCTGCAACTGACGAAAAAAGCCAGTGGGCTTGGGGCCTAAGTTGTTGTATACGCGAGTAAAGGGCCGAGGGTAGATGAAGTAATTATCTTTGCTCACTCGTTCGCCCACAACAAGGCCTTGCGGATTTTGAGTTCAGCACGTCTCGCTTCACTCCGTTACTATCATACGCACAAGTACTACCAGTTTCTACTGTTCCATGAGTATTAGTTAAGTACAAGTAGTGACCTTTCAACTATTTTGATTTATTTCTAGTAAGAGTTTTACGTCACTTGCAACAGAATACGGGCACAAGTGCGGAAGATTAGTGGGTTTACAAAAGAGTAACAAACAC